ACAGTTTCCTGTTTCACATTACGGTAGTTCATCACGATTTCCAAAAAAAAGATGATTGCATTGCTGCTATATATACACGTCATAACACATAACATTTAACATACATGGGATAAGATATAATGACACTGATAAAACGTTCAGATCAGTAGTGTACAAGGTATAGTATAGAGGTACAAGGCTACGCACATTAAGGACTGGCTGTTACTTCTAACTCTGATCAAGAAGGTTAACCTCCTTGCTCTGATTCAGACACCTCTCCGTGCGGAATGACCCTGTAGTGTAGAAGAACGTATCAAGTCTATAACATATCAGGGCACTCTAGGGAAATATTGATTGCCACACACCACTTCTACCAGAGGCTGTGACTGCTGAGAGACCTGATATCTACTAATCGCTCTAAGAATTTCTCACTTTAAGAACGATTTGTATCACAGACTGTGTGTTTTGTTGTGTTTAAATCATACTTGTGCATCATACTTCAACAATAAAATCAGGTGTCATGGAAATACAATTTTGGTCACTCAACGGTCGCTCCGCAGTCTAGTGCTAGTGGAAGGGGCCTTACGCGACTAGGCTGTTTTCTGAAGTTGTTTGAATATTCAGTATTGATAGTCAATGTGTAGGTAATAAGTTTTCGTCTCAGCGGAAGCGCCAGCAGGTCGACTTCTACTGAAGCAAATGAATTTCTGGAAATTATCTTGGGCTTTAGGTTTTTCACATTGTCTCCGTGGTGCCAGCCAACTGAATGTCAGATGGTGCTAGCCAAACGTAGCCACTGATTCGCTTAATTTGTCTTTAATTTCGCCGGCGTCGGCGGCAGAAGACTTTTAAAGACGACCAGAAACACGACTTATAAGTAGAAAACCATCTGTGAGGCCGTGTACTAGACTTAAAAGGCAGACTGACAGGCTCATTTCCTCCACATAAGATCAGATAAGTCCAATACTTAAGTACTCGCATGATGAATGGCCACTTCCCTTTTTCTGGCTAATCATGACAGGAATAAAAGTAGAGTCTAGAGAGCCTGAAGAAAAATAACAGACCGCAGCACACATTCCTCCGTGAAGTAATTGTAGTGTTCAGCTCTAGTGTTTGGCTCTAGTGTTTGATACACGAAGAAACGGCGAACTGTACAATTACGAAATGCTACTTTTTGACAGAATATGTTGTCACTATAGATGACATACGGATGCAAGTATTACAGTCACAAATATCGAACATACGGAGCT